TAGATTACTCTATTGAAAATGGGAAGTACTTGGTATGTATCTTTAAATCTCAAATGTATCATATTGTTGGTGATTTACCTTTAAAATATAGTTTTGATAATTAATTTCATGAAAAGAATACACGTGCAGTGAACTATAAGCGTAAAAACGTAAAGCGTTTTGGTGAATTAGAAGCGTAAAATCGTAAGCTTTTAAGTTTTATAGCGCAATTTCGTCCGATTTTATACACTATTATATGGAAATGAAAGCGTTTTGGTGATCTAGAAGCGTAAAACCGAAAGTTTTTAAGTTTTAAAATGCGATTTTGACTACCGTACATTGCTTTCCTTATTTGATGATTCTTCTAGACCCAAGTTACAAACTTGGTGCTCTGGGGAAAAAAAGATCTCCATGAAACAGATATTGTGATTCACGCATACAGATAAATTGTTGCATCAGAGTTAAACCAGGACCACAAACCCTAGCTAGCTAGTTGGATTCAAAGGCTGAATATGGTATCGTTTGCTTGTGGGATTTGGGTAATGGATTTGGCACCCAAATCCCTAGCATCATGGATTTGAGATAACTCCATTGTTTATTAAGAGACACAAATCTGTGGGGGCCACGAATTTGAATCTTTTTTTTAGATCCAAATCCGTGGACCCCACGGATTTGTAAATCCCATATTTCATTTGGGATTTGATCATGGAAGCAAAATTTGTGAGACAAATCAATGATAAATCCATGATAAAAATTAACCAAACAAACAATGAACTCTTCCAAATCCATAATGCAACAAATCCATCATAAATCCAAAAGTTTTTAAAACTCAAAACTTTCATTTTTCAAATCCAACAAGCAAACGAGAACTTATATGTGTAGCAGCACAAGATCTGATTCATGCACGAAAGAACAAATGAAATGGAGGAGGCGGCTAGCTCCAAATATCCTTTCCTCCACTAGCTACCCTTATTCAATCATCAGAATCTTCCATTTCAACTAAGTAATGACGTTTGTGCTTCGCATGTTATGTGCCGAATAAATAAGGTTATTAGATTCTAATGTATTCTTAATTCGATCGGTCTCTCTATATTCAATTTGTGTTGGTGCTCCTGATATGATAGCCGCCCAACACATGTCCACTTATAAGTATCATCATGCTGATCAAAGTATAAGTTTTTACGTGAAAAAATCATTTCAATGCTTAATAAAATGGACCGCAAAGTAATCACGACGTTTTTATTTTATTAACTTTTATTTGGATACCAAAAAGCAACCTTCTTTTTTAGCTTTAGAAGAAAATTCACTTTTATCTCTGAATTCACTTTCCCATTTGTTCATATAACTTTGGCAAAAATAATCTTCCATCAGAAGCTGGTGGAAGATTATGTGCTGGGAAGGGAACGCTTGTTTTAAACTTAGTTGATTTCAATTTTAAAAAGAACGATTTTGTAAATATGTATTTAAGTTAGGACAACAAATAATAATTTTAGAACGACGAATAGCAATCCACTAAAAATATATATGATACATATTTTCTGTAGTGAATTGAAATGTAGGGTCCTTATAAAATCTCTGTGTATGCGTATTAGGAGAAAGTTTTGTGTTCGAGTTGCCTAAAAGTTCTTCCAAATGATGGAAACAGTGGCCGAGTTAGTTTATATTAAAATACATGTAAATTTACATGTAAACTTCATACAAATTTAAAAAATAGACTCGTTTCTTCCTCTCAAATTATCACGATTCATAATCAAACTCCTCATTTAGATTTATAAATCCACTACTGAGTGGTGGAAGTGCATGTACGTGTAGCAAGTAAAACCGTAGTAATTTGATGATTGGTTCTTCACTTCACCAATTATTTGGCTCACGGGGAGTAGCAAGGAAGCTTCCAACCTGAAAAAGACAGTTTTTTTTTTAACATCGAACGGTTGATTATTAGAGCACATTAATAACCGGTAAAGGAAACGTATGTGGGCGGGGAACGGCTACGGTGCTAATTGTACAATAGTTAGCACCGTCCTAACCAAGGGAGAAACTATTACTAGTTTGAATTAGTAGTGATTTAGTTTAGATGTTGTATTGATTTTATAATAATCCGTAATTATTTCGTTATTTTTAGTAGCGTTTTTTGCTAGTTATCACGGTGCTAACCCCTATAAGGGTTAGCACCTAATCCCATCCCTACGTGGGCGTGGTGAGGGTTAGGGTTAGGCTTTAAATTTACACCAATTATTGGTGGCATGGCGATTGATCCACCCCCAATATAATTTTTAATTTATCATGTACGGTAGAAATGAAAAAAAAAAATCTTCATTATATACCCAAAAGGTTAATTAGCTTTTAAACGAGCTTTTACGTAGTACAATCCTTTTCATTTCTCTATACCAAGATTCTCAAAGTGTTTTCGATCGAGGATTGGCTAGAGAAAAAGCTACAGAACGACATATAATAATAATTCAATTATTAACATCTGGATTATTATTTATGAATATGATAATCTCGTTCATTAGAAAATGGTGAACAAATAATAATAAATAAATAATTTGGAAATAAAGGAATATGCCATCACTTTGGGATCTTAGACAATTTATTTATTGCACAACATTACAGGAATTGGCTTGTAGTAAATTGTAGAATTAACCCAGTTCGGATTGATCTTCGACATTACTTGTTTATCTCTTTGGAAAAATATAAATGATCATGTTTTCATAGGTCTAATTATTAACACTCAAGTTTTATGTTTCCAAGTTTCAATAGATTATGTGCGGGATGCGCGGAATAACAACATATGTGAATTGTACTTGCCAGAACAAAGCTAGAGAATTCATACCATCAATCATACAACTCCATTGTTGACTCGAGCCTTGCCAATGTGCTGGCAGAATCATTAGAGATCATTCAAGACGCTGCTTTACATAGTTCATTTGTAACCTTGAAGTAAGCTAACCATCACGGGGAGGGAGATTGAATGGCTCGGTCGGGCTCCAGCTACTTTGAATGTTCGCGCTCTACCTTGATTCTCATTGTGCAACCCATTTGCTAAAAAATTTCTATAGAAAAAATAATAATTGCGCAGGTTATCTTGCTAATCGAGGTTGAAATTACTTATCCTCGAGGTTTCATTATATTTCTCTTGCTTCTCCTAGGCTAAGCTAGTGGACTAGAGGTTTCAAAATCAGGCCCAATTGATTACTGATGAAAATTGGGGTCTGAATTGCATTCATTAAAAAGAAAACTTAATGCATTATAGTCATGCAAATTTGGCACATATATCATCATGGTCATAGTATAATGAGTTAGTTAGTAGTGCTTCTGTAGTGACAAAGTAAATGTGAAAGTGAGCAAGTGGCCTTTAGAATGGACCAATAATTGCAGCCATATATATCCACCATTAATTGCTATAAACGGCATTTTAAAATAAAAGGGAAGGAAAAGAAAACGCTCTAAAAAGAGAATTAAGAACGGAAAAGAAAGCATCTCATGTGATGTTAACTGTGTCATGCATCTTGCTTGCCTTAATGTCTTTGCTTCTATTATTATCACACTATTTAATCCATCTCTTCTCTGCGTATAGAAATTACAAAGGAGGCGTGCTAATGTGTACAACAAGTTTGAAAAGAACGGAAAAGATGTGACGAATAATGAATGGTGTCACCCCGAGTCAATCCAAAGGGTTGAGGTCGTTTTTGCCGAGTTTTGAATGCGCTGAGCCTGATTTGACGAATCCGGCCGGGCGAAATCCAAAACTAGTGTGTGACGCTCGTTTTTTTCCCCCACCGGATTGGTGTCACCCCGAGTCAATCCGTGGGTCGAACACTGGGTTAAGAACCTTGAGTAGAGCATCAATATTACATAAACAAATTTCGAACTTGAATTTTGGTACTAAACACATATAATTATTATATTTTCTAATGTTCAAAATAAAGGGTATGTAAATTTTCTCTAGATGTTAAATTTTTTTATTTTATAATAATCAATTTGAATTACAAGTGTTTTAAATTCATACTTTAAAATATTATATTATATATTAAATATATTGAACGTGCTCTTTCGGGGACGGTCTGTGTTGTCGTGTATATAAAAGGCTGCTCGAGTGCCCTCAAAATCTTGTTGACAGTTACATCTTTCCATCTACGCTTCTCTCAAAACCTCGCTCGCGATGACTACTAGAGTAGCCGCCGTGGAGGAGATGACGGCTGAGAGGAAAGGGTTAGCGGCGGCGGTGGCGGTGAGGGAGTTCGACGCCGAGAGGGACACGGCGGCGGTGGAGGAGATGGAGCGGCGGTGCGAAATCGGGCAGCGCGGAAAGCCTTCCCTCGTCACTGACCTCATGGGTGACCCGATTTGTCGGGTTCGCCATTTCCCTCTCCATGTCATGATGGTAACCAAACCAGCTATATATAGCTAAGCTAACTTGCATGAATATTGAACTTGAGCTGTCCATCTTTTTGCCTTGATAACAAACAACTGTGCATGAGTCGTTCGATTCGATCTTCTTTCAGGTAGCAGAGTACGGGGAAGGCAGCAAGGAGATCGTAGGAGTGGTGAGGGCTTGCATAAAGACGGTGTCAAGAGGGAACTCTTCATCCAAAAATGGCTACGCTGCTAATTATGTCAGGTTGGCATATATTCTTGGACTCAGGGTCTCTCCTACTCATAGGTACGCGATTAATTATGTTCTATGTTAATAATCACCATATTTTAAGTTTCATAGTCCTCTTCAATCACATGCATGTAGTACCAAACCAAAGCTACATATATTTCTATATGTGACCTAACAAACTTTGTATTATTATGCAGCAATATGTTTAGCTAGCTAGCCTTTAAAAAAAAAGTTGAAAATAGAATACATTCAACATCATTCTTTCCATTGTGATACTAACGGGTTCAGAACTCAAATTAACGAGTGATTAAAAGTCATACTATATACATTACTAAAAAAATCGTGATATTTAGAAACGATGAAATTTGTATCATACTAAATTATTGTATATAGAATCTCCAAAATAAGATATTATTCCACCTAAAGATTGATACAAATGGATTATGCTCTAATTGTTTTTACCATTTGAAAGATGACTTTCTTAACTTAAGGATCAATTAATGGGCAGAATCCTATCTCCAATCCTTCTAAATATATGCTCTATCACACTAACCATTCTTAATACTATTGCATTGGGGGGAAGGCCAACCATATCTTTCATTGTTTACTCTAATTATTCAAATACCATCATCAATTGGGACAAGAAAACACAAAAGCTTTGGTGGAGGACTATTGTTTGGGTATAATTTGGAAAGGTTTACTAAATTTCCCCAAGACACATGGGCTACCACTGCTTCCTCCCCTTCTCTATCTTTTTTCCCAGTCTTTCTCCCTTTTCATTATTCTCTCTTTCTTTTTCCCATGGCATACTAGCCCCACTACTACTAGCCACCCAACATATAATATGCATTCACATTTTATTGTGTTTGTGCTTTGAGCCCCACCATTTCCATACTTTTTAGTTATGAAACATGTAATCTTATACAAAGCCTTCTCAAATCTTGAGTAGTATCCTAATTTGATTTCTGTTTACCTCTCCAAACATCAACAAATTTGTTGAGATAAGTTTTAAATTTGTCTAGTCTTTGACATAACTTGTTTTGGTTCCATCAGTTAGGACTAGCTAATATTATATAAGTACCCTCTTGAGCACTTTGTTTCATGATCATATTGAAAAGTTCTTAACATTTCTTCCAAAATATGTTTTGTAATGTATAGTCCTTCTCGAAATAATGAAAACTGCTCTCGATTGCTTATTAGCATATTCAACACATATTAGTGAACCACTTAATTTCATATGCTGTTTATATTTCATTATTGACCAAGAAAAATTTCAAGTTTTGAGTTCAATAATTTTCTATCGAGCTGTTTTCTCTCCTTGTCGTTAATCATTAAAAAATGATAATCTATTGGATTTGACGAATTTTTTTGCTATTGCTCAGAAATTCTCCCACTACTAATTTAACCAGAATCTCATTTGCTTGAATTCATGCATGACACTGATTGAAAAAGTCATCTTTTGGAACCATAAATGTAACTGCAGGAGGCTTGGAATCGGCGCAAGACTAGTCCACAAAGTAGAAGAATGGAGCAAACAAAACGGCGCCGAATATGCATACATGGCAACCGATTGCACCAACCAGCCTTCCATCAACCTCTTCACCGGCAAATTCTCCTACACCAAGTTCCGGACCCCTGCCATGCTCGTCCAGCCGGTACACGCTCACCGCAAGTCCATACCCTCCTCCGTCGCCATCATCCGCCTGACCCCTCAGACCGCCGGACTAATCTATCGTCGAGCATTCAGCACCAAAAATGCCGAATTCGTTCCACAGGACATCGACAGCATCCTCTCCAACAAGCTAAACATGGGCACCTTCATGGCCGTGCCAAAATCATACATCGACACAAACAACAACACCACCCTCAAGTCTCCGTTGGAGAGTTTCGCGATCATGAGCATCTGGAACACGAAGGACGTGTTCAAGATGCAAGTGAAGGGTGCGTCGAGGTTGAACCGCGCCTGTTGTGTGGGTTCGAGGTGGCTGGACTCGCGGCTGCCTTGTCTGAGGCTGCCCTCGATCGATCCCAAAGTGTTTAGGGAGTTTGGAGTCCATGTGATGTACGGATTGCACATGGAAGGAGAGGGTGCGGACGGGCTGATGAGGGCTCTGTGCCGGTTCGCGCACAATGTGGCTCGAGACGATGATGGGTGCGGAGGGCTGGTCTGTGAGGTTGGTCCACGGGACCCGGTGCGAAATGTGGTCCCGCATTGGAGGAGGTTTTCGTGGGAACAGGATATCTGGTGCATCAAGAGGCTTAGGAAAGAGGTTCATGATCATGTGGATGGAGGATGTGAGCCCTCCGATTGGGCGACTTCTTCGGGTTCGTCGCCTGTAATCTTTGTTGATCCTAGAGACTTTTGATGACCCTTTGTCATCACTAAACTAGTAAACTATAGGAGAATATCAACGAAAATTGTAAATATACCTGTAACCTACTTTATGCAGAATGGTTTCTTCTTTCCCAAGCAAAGGGCAGAGGAAATGAGATTTCTAAGTACTACATGAAGTCCAGTGACCAACTAAACTACAATAACAAGGCAAAAGCCTTCGACATACTAGGCAAAAGCCCTTGCCGATGCCTAAGAATGCTTACATGGTAGAGGCTTTGGCAAAGCTCGAGAATTTGGAGGAAGGATCTGCCAGAAGAACTTGTGGATTCCCCTGCTCCACCAGCTTCCCCTGTTCAAGGATGAGTATGTCATCCATGTCCAGTACTGTCGAGATCCGATGTGCGATTGTGACCACTGTCATCCCTCTGCATACACTGGAGATTGTGTTCTGGAGTAGCCTTGCTGTCTGTGCATCCACATCGGCAGTGCACTCGTCCAAACATAGTACCTGGAAGAGAAGAAGAAAACTCAAGCATTGCCTTGTTGGCAACAAAGCTCCCTACCAGCTTTCACTATGTGCATGACTCAACAGATAATTTCAAAGGTCATTACCTTGGAGGACTTGAGAAGAGCTCGGGCGAGACAAAGCAGCTGCCTTTGTCCAACAGAGAACGAGGTTCCGGATTCTTGAACCTGGATGTCCAATCCCCCAGCTGCTTCTACTTCATCCTTCACATGGCATTTCTCCAGGATTTCCCACATTGTAGTATCATTGCTTTTATCAAGAGGGTCAAGATTATCCCTGTAGAATTTACACCATAAGACTCACAGGGGGGAAAAACGAAACATTATGCTTGATGTAGAAGAAAGCATATGTACGAGGGGCAAACCTTAATGACCCTTGAAACAAGAAGGGGGTTTGAGGAACAACAGCTAAGCGTGAACGCAAATCTCTGACAGGCACATCAACTATGTTAAGCCCATCGACCAGAATGCAACCACTGCTTAAAGGTGAAAGGCGGAAAAGGGCATTCAGGATGCTAGATTTGCCAGCACCTGTTCTTCCAATGATTCCCACCTATTCCATTTGTGTTGTAATATATAAAAAGACAACGCTTTTTGAGTAACTTTTAGCTGCAATTCGGTAATCAGCAAAAGTTAAGGCCGCATGAATGAAGTTACCTGGGTTCCTCCTGCAATTGTGAACGTGACATCACGTAGTGCAGGTGGCAAAGTGGGCATGTATCTCATTGTCACGTTCTTATATTCGATCATCCCTCGAAATGGCCAATGTGGATCCAGAGCTTTGGATTCTTCCACCACTTCTTGTGGGATGTCCATGTACTTAACAAGAACAGAAAGCATTTCAGTTGCCAGGGAGGGAATTAAGAAACACTAGAATGGATGCATGTCTTTACCTCAAGAGCTCTCTCGACAGAAACCAATTCCTTTTCAGTTTCGGCAAAACTTGTTAGGAAGTTTCCCAGCAAGGATACGATTGGAGAAGCATAAGAAAGAGCCAAACCAACCTAAGAAAAACAACATCGTACGAGTCAAAACATGTAGAGTCTGAAAGTCAGTAATTGAGAGTCTTGACGAGTAGAAACTGAAGACGTATGAGATAGATAGAGGTCACAGGAAGTACCAGTCCAGGAGTGCCAAAATCAACTGGCAAATAGCTTCTGGACCCAGCAACAGCCATCACCGCAACAAAGGTGACTATAAATGCTCCTATCAACTAATACAAGACCCCTGGTCAGACTGAATGAAAGTGACAAAATTTATATTGATCGAGCAACCTAGAGAGTTTCACCTGCCATCTCCAGACAGAACTATGTTATCTTTGCCTATGAACATTCAGTTGGACATGATATTTCTAAGATTCAGATTGATCTAAAAAAAAATACCTGTAGACGTAATGACAGCCACAAACTTGCTATTGTCTCTGAGTAAGATGTTCGCTGATACAATGTCACATGCTCCGTGAATTTTTGCTGGAAAAATTCCTGTTCAGTCACAACGTTCACACGTTACATCCCGTCCAAATTCACAAATCATCACTTAGAGAAGTCCAGAATGTTACAATCCTTTCCAGGACTACTGAAACCTTATCTTCTCCAAAATGAAATGGAGATTTCATTGATTTGACTTAACATGACTGTGATCTTTCCTCTGCTTAACAAGAATATCTGGTCCGACTTTCTATCTTTGAAATGGGGTGAATTTTTGAATTAGAGAAGGCAAGAGAATGGAACAGAAATCTGAAAAACACATTTTGGATCTACCTCACACTTAAATGCTCTTATCGTGGATGACCCCTTGAGTGTCTCTGTGAAGGTAGCATATATAGGGGATCGAGAAACACTGTCAAGCCTTCGCAATTCTCTTGATGTTGATCTGTAGAAGAACTAGAGATGTTCTGGTTTAGGATGGGGTGCTCTTGGATCAAACTTTTCCTTCCTTTTAGGAACATCAGCAACAATATTGTAAAGCAACTCTAACTGTTAATGACACTTCACTTCCTATAGGAATCCTTCAATCTTATTCATTCTTTTACCTCTCAACTATCCAACAGTTCTGACTTCTGAGACATGATTGGTCATGCTCCATCTAAGATTACAACTGAAACTCACAACTTTTTCATCTTTTATACACAACTCACTTTAGCTTGAGTTTTACTTACATACCTGTAGCTTGCTGTAGATAAACCAAAATGGCAACACAAGAAGCAAGAAGAAAACCTGCATAAGAAATGAATTATATTTGCAAATTTTTTTACCCAAGTGAGGCATGTGACATGAATTTTGGCAGATTGTATAGTCAAAGTGGAAAAAGAGTGATCACCTGCACATATGACAAAACGGCTGCTATTCCCAAGAGGCCAACAAAATTGGCAACAAGAATGTTGAGCATGAATGGGAGAGAGTCGTCAATCGTATAAAGATCTGAAGAGAATCTGCAGCATGCAGCACATGAAAAAGGTTTATTGAATGTGCATTCTTCACTTTCCTCACAAATGAAAAGCCCTTCATCCTAACCTGTTAAGAATTCTTCCACTTGGTGTTTGATCAAAGAACTGTACGGGAGCGTCGATAAGCTTATCAAGCAATCTATTGTGCACCTGAACTGCGGCTTGTAGCCCACCAAATGCGAATGAAAATGCTCTCACTAGTGTCAGAAAGGAATTTGCTGCACAAAATATGCAGAGAACAACCTGCGCCACCACAAACCAAGGCATCCAGAGATGCAAGTCTCATTTCAATTACTGAGTCCTTCAAACTTTTATCATTCCGTTTCATATGGATTGACAAAATTCTTCCATGGTACAAGATTCGTATTCGCAAAGAGTTTCTCAAAGAAGTCAGAAAATGGATCCTGTAACCTTCCTTGTTTTACCATTCAGAAATCATTTTGAAGCCACCCTCCAATAACTAATATGATTCCGAAGCTCTCCAACCATAACTAGCCAATGCCTATTGTTTTAGCATACTCTGTACCTTAAAAACAGGTAGCGACAAGATGTAGAAGCATGCTCGAACATAATTTTGAATATATTACCAGATAGAAAGACGTTGAAAATCCTGTTTGACTGGTTCCTGTTGTATCAACCCAATATGACAGCCATAGGTCATTTCCATTCCGTGTTGCTTGCATTAAGATAGCCGAAAGACATATCACGAATGTGATAAACCAACCAGCATATGAAGCATAGTTCCTGAGGGGACATGATAGGAAAACTATCAACTGAGAAATTCATATCATATCAAAGATATAGCAACACTTCCAACCAAAATATAACTAGCCAAGAAGTAGAATATACTTGTACACAGAAATTTCAACTCTGCCCTCTTTTCTTTGCTCTTCTTCAATGATCTCTTCTACTACTTCAGTTGAATGTGTATGTTCTTTATTTTCCCTGCCATGGATGGAATTATCGAGGCCGAGTTCTTGTTGAACACTACACAAAGCATCAAACTCATTCTGTTGAAAGAAGGAAGAATGTGATGAAGCTACCAAGTCAACTGAACTTCCTGTCCATCTCACTCCTCCTTTGTCCATCACAATAACCAAATCAGCAGATGATATAGCCTGCAAGGTTCAAATACTATCAATGATACATCCATCATAATAGTGTACTATTGTCCAAAGAGCCAATGGCTGAAATCTAACACCGGTTTACTTCATAGCGAGTGAAAATAAAAAGAACCACAAGATGAGTTCAAAGGGACTACCTGAACATTATGAGTACAAAGGATGCGAGTTGTTTGACTCATGAGAGGGCCAAGAATAGCATTTTGCAAAATCCACCTAGCAACATGAGCATCGACAGCACTAAGGACATCGTCTAGCAGATATAGATCAGACCCTTGGTAAATGGCCCTGTTGTATGACACCAGCCAAAGAATCAGAGAATTGAAAAGGAAAAATGATGGAATTTGATAAATGATTTGGCAAAAGTGAGGACAAAGGTTTGGATTTAACCTTGCTAAAGCAAGACGAGCCCTCTGCCCACCCGATAAGTTTACACCTTGCTCTCCAATATAAGCCATATCACCTCCAGCCATTAGTGAAATATCAATATCCAGTGCACAAACTTTTATAGTGTTCAAGTATCTGTTCAACAGAGAAACAGGAATGAGTCGGAAGCATTGACTAAATCCCATATTTAAAGGAAAATTATACAATTTCTAAGCCCTGAGTCACAAATTTCATGTATAACCGCAACTCACGACAAAATAAAACAAAAGGGATGAAGGCACTAAAAATGCAGCATACCGTTCTGAATCATAATTTCTTCCAAACAAAATGTTGTCACGAATTGTTCCTGCTAAAATCCATGGGACCTGGAATTTCACCAAATGCTGCCGTTAGCGAATACATCAATCATGTAAGCAGTTAAATTTATAACCCTTCATTCAACAATTCAGAAACACAAAGACAAAAACCTGAGGTACGTATGCTACAGATCCACTGGAATGTATGGAGCCCTTTATGAGCTTCATTTCTCCTAATATAGCACACAACAATGACGACTTACCAGAACCAACCTGCAGAGATGATATTCCAAAGAGAATCATCATAAGATAAAATTTGAGAGTAAAGTTAGACAAGCATCTTCAAAATGAATCAATCAATTAATATTTTGTTTACCAAGGCTGTGATATATATGCAACAGTTTGCAAGGGATAATAAGAGGCTACATGCAATCAGTCAGATACCTCTCCAGTGACTGCAATCACTGCACCCTTTGGGAGGATTAAGTTCATATGATTCAGAACTGTGCTCTGCAGCTTATCATCACTACTCGACCAAGCACAACATGCATCATTCATAACGGCAGCCATATCTTTAGGGCTGATATTCGAGGCATCACCTGGCGATATAACATTATCCTCATGTTTGCTAACTGAACATCGAAGAAACCTGCTCAGCCTTCTGGTTGATATGAAGGCCTGGGCTCAAGTAAACAGATATTCAGCATTATCAGAAACAAGTTATGATTATGTACAAGAAAAGTAAAGAACAACGATTATGGTCACAACTCACATCGATTAATCCATTAATGACCCATGGGAATGAGTTTAGAGGAGATATTAAATTGTTAAACAGAGCGAGACAAGTGAAGACCTGTAGAAATAGATAAACTTGGTCAGCTACCAAATTAGTCGTCACGCTCCAGAGTCCAGTGCTACTCATCAACGAATTACTTCCTAACGAAGTAAGCATACCGTTGCAGCATCTAGTTGATACCCCATCAGACTGAAAAGTCCAAAAGTACACAGGGAGAAAAGAGTAGGTGTTGCAGCCCAAAAGAAAACGCACCATGCATCCAGATACTTCCTTGTCTGAAAAGATTAGGCGAAAGAAAAAAGTGAGAAGTTAAGAATAACTAATCTAAATACTACTGTACATTCGTTCATTTAACACATCACAGAAACACATCTCTTACAGCTAGGTGCTTCACTTCCAACATTCTTGTCTCCATCACCCATTTGGAGAAGAGCTGTTCCCAGCCATACATCTTTAAAGTGCGAATATGTGATAAAATTTCTCCAGTTCGTCTAACCCTGTAAAGATCACAATATACATTTTAAGTTATCAAGTTTGATTTCAGTAGTATATATGAATAAAATGTCCACCTTTCATCCTTTTGCTTCATCATTTTCTCCGTAGCATTTGCAATGAGCTCAGAGATCCACTTATTCACTACAAATATAAACAATGACAAAATTAAGAAAAATATATCAGGTGAAATTATGTAGCTGCTAATAGCGAAAACTGCCCAGACTAAAGTTCTGTCCATATTCGCAAAGACGGTCTCTCAATAGAACAGTATTTTTCCTTAGATAACATTCAAAATACCAAGGACAAGAAACAATATGGAAACCTGGTATCAATAGGATGGTTATTGCAAGTCCAGCAAGAAAGGCAAATCTGACTTGGGTATACAAGAGATACAAAGCCACTCCAATCTGTAAAGGTAAGCTGAAAAGACCATGAAAGCAATTGTTACAATTCAAAGGATAGGCATTACTTCTACGAGAAATAGTATTGCAAGGGTGTTTTAAATTTTATAACTTTCTGGTTTCCTTTAATTCATTGTAACATGTGTGCTTACCTCCATATATCATGGAAGCTATTGCATAAGTTGACCGTCCGATCAGCATCAACCGACATAAATGTCTGTATTTCACCCTCAGAGAACCTGGATTGTGCGGCTAGTGTGAGACACAAGCACTGAAACAATAAAAATGAAGGTTAACAATTGATGCTGGGAACAGAGAGATAAAAAAAAACTAAGATGATTGGAAATCCAAGTTACTGAAGCAAAGTAACATGGTTCACAACCACCAGAAAGAGAATCCGTTGGCATGCAAAGTCATTCCTCAGATGACATCGCCATCCATTGTGATGATACATAATCCAGGTTTAACTTTCAAAAAGAAAAAAGAAAAAAACAGTCCAGGTTTCAGATAAACTAGGCTACTTCATATCATAATGGAAACTGTGGAAAGCTACTAGTTCATTAAACCTAAACAATATAGGCATGCAAAGTAATTCCTCAAATGACATCGCCATCTCAGCAATCGGCTGGAACTAAGGAGATTAGCATCTAGAAATATCAGAAACTGCAGAACTCAATTTCAAAGATGATAGAAACCCAATTTCCGGGTTTATTCGTAATTATCATAATTACTATAATTATGACATTATTAATTATGGTAGTAGTCATTGAGTCATATTAGGATAGTCTATTAGGTTTTTCCAGTCTTTCGTTATAAATATGTACTTTGCGTTTTATTCAGAATGAGAAAAGCAGAATATTAAGAAACCCTCTCCAAAACCCTACTCTCCCAATCCTCTCAATTCTCGTCTCAATCCCTCTAAAGGCTTAGGCCGATTCTCTACCTTTCTCTTCTCAAATCCCTAATTTTGTTCTTAATCCCTAAATCTCCAATTCCCGATAGAACCCTAATCCCAGGTTCTATCATTTGGTATCAGAGCCTGGTTGAGAAATCGAGTTCATCACAACTCTCAACAGGGACCATGGAAACTGAACGCGTTTATGAAGATTTCATCCCCAAGGTCACTAAACTAGTGAAGGATTCATACATCGAGCTGTTCTTCTCATTGCCGCGGTGGTTCAAGACGGCAAACATTAAATCCTTGTCCAATATACTAACAGTCCACGGGGAACAACCATTGGACGGATAGTGCATATCCGTTACCCTACCCAAAGTAGTTCGGGTTTTACCCATACCCATACCCATACCCACATATAAAACGGGTAGAAAATTAAAACCATACCCATACCCGTTCGGGTTTCGGGTATCCACGGTTATCCATGGGTAATGATTTCTCTTCATAACTCCAACTAATATGTTAACATTCACACGTATTCTCACATTACGCAAGAGGAAAAGTATGACAATAATTCACTAGAATGAAGAAAATTAATTAAAACAACACAATTTCATGAAAATATTATATTATATGCTAAATATAAAATATGTTGGAGAAAAATAATGACTATTTCTAGACAAAATACATATGTATATGTATAATCGGGCGGGTTCGGGTTGGATACTGAGAAACCCATGCCCACCCATTACCCGCAATATTCGGGTTCGGGTTTTACCCGTACCCACTAAATGTCCTTCGGGTTCGGGTTTTACCCTACCCGATTAGGCCGGGTTCGGGTGGATATCCACGGTTACGGATATTTTTGCCATCCCTAAGCAAAGGTGAGACTCAGGTCAGATTTTGACACCAACGAATTCTCGACTCGCTGGTTTAGCAGATACCGGCTGGTTGTTCATATTCCCCGCTCGAAGAACTGACCGCCGTTCCACCTGCTATTCAAATTTGGTCGACGATGGATGACGAAGAAGAAAGGTTGGCGGCGGCAACATCAGAGGCCAGCCCGGAAGCCCCTACCTTACCAGCCGCAGCTCAGGAAAAGGAGACTTCCGACACATCCGTTGCTATTACCGCCGATAAGAAAGAGGCGACCACTGAAAAAGGACCACCGGCTGTCGTGGAACCATCACCGATGGTCATCAACGTCACTATGCCGCCATCCCCTGCCTTTGACGGCCCTGAACCAGGGATGCACATCCTGGCGGCACTGACGAGCAAGAACCCTAAAAGCTTCGTCAGTAATGGTGGGAAGAGAATCCCATTCTGCATCGCAAACAGAAGATTCAAGAAGAAAAGAAGACCAAAGCAGAAGGATCTGAAGACGATGGAGATGTTGGGTTGGCTTCCATACCGGCATGCAGGCGGTTCACCACCAGGGAAGGAGGAACCGAAGGAGGTGGTGGCGACGCGCAACACGGCGCGGCATGCCGAGGCTCTGGCCCTGCTGGCGACGACGGCGACGGCGGGCGAGCAAGGCGAGGAGCTCGGGGGAGCTTCGGAGGCTGACGGCGGGCCGCGGCGGTCGCTGGCCGCGGGCGACGAGAGCGGAGCTGGCGCAGCGGTGGCGCGCCAGGAAGGGGGAACGGCGTGGGCCGAGGCGCCGGGTGGACGGCGCATCTCACCGAGCGTCGCAGGGCTGGACGGCGCTGACCGAGGCTGAGCTGAGAACCGACGCGACGGGGATGAGCATGAAGCTGCAAGCGGCGTCGGGTCTTGCGTCGAACGGCGAGGAGAAGATGCCACCGATTGTCGGGCCATCGCCGGAGAAGACGATGGAGCGAAAGGCGGCGTCGGAGTTGGATCGGCCACCTGGCCGTCGGTGGAATGGCGCACCGCCGGGGAACGGGACGAGGAAAACGGCGTCATTGGCAGGCGCAATAGAGCAGAGGCCGAGCAGAGAGGAGGGCGGCGGTTCTCTGTGTCCAGCAACCCTAGGTCGCGCCCGTAAGGGGCCAGAACTGTGGGGCCGAGTGGTGATTCGGATCGTCGGGCCATTGGGCCAAGGGAATCGGGCCGAGTGTGCTAATGAGCAAGAGATCGGATATGGGCCGAGATCTGCTAATCAAATGGTTGAGAAAGATCACGGGCTTGGGAGTAATAAGAGGTCTACTGAATTCTCTTTGGGCCTAACTCCAATGGACCAGCAGAGGGGGCTAGAGACTCAGCTCATCTCCTGCCTATTGGGAAAAGAAGTTGGGCCGAGTCATCAATAGAGACTTGGGCCACGAGTGGGCTTTTCTGTTAAATTTATTTTGCAAGAATAAAGGAGGAAGGAGGAAGGAAGTGGGCTCGTTGGAGTAGGAGTTGGGCTTTTAAGGTGGGTTAATCCAAACCCATTTGGAGAAGAAGGGAACTCAAAAGAGCTTGTTTACGTCACAAAGCCGATGGCGGAAATCGTGGAGTGCAAGGAAGAACAATTTCTCGATTCTTATTTTGTGAATTTCGAGAAACAAGAGGAGGAATCGTTTGGCTATGAAGAACGTAACATATGTCGCGAGGGTGGAGGAGATTTGATAAAAGTTGGAGTTGCGAGAGAAGAGTTCATTCATGAACTTGAGCGCAACTGGAAGCGAAGAAAGCGAAGGGTCAAGGAGAAGGAGGTCAAATGGGTCAACCTTGAGGACAAGGTTGGTTTGAAGGGGGAGGGGATGATAGAAACCCAGTTTCCGGGTTTAATCGTAATTATCATAATTACTATAATTATGATATTATTAATTATGGTAGTAGTCATTGAGTCATATTAGGATAGTCTATTAGGTTTTTCCAGTCTTTCGTTATAAATATGTACTTTGCGTTTTATTCAGAATGAGAAAAGCAGAATATTAAGAAACCCTCTCCAAAACCCTACTCTCCCAATCCTCTCAATTCTCGTCCCAATCCCTCTAAAGGCTTAGGCCGATTCTCTATCTTTCTCTTCTCAAATCCCTAATTCTGTTCTTAATCCCTAAATCTCCAATTCCCGATAGAACCCTAATCCCAGGTTCTATCAAAAGATGAAAGGGCAAAACATTTTATATCGAAGTTTCAGGCTACAGCAAAGTAAATACTTGATAAAGAGGTCAGCTGTATGTACTCAATATCACAGCATAGTCTATTAATCTATCACGCCATATCAATAATACCAATGCTGCTAGCCTAAGTGGAAAGACTCTGATGAGTACCTTGTTATAAATGATAGTCATGATACTAGACCGTAGTTTAAGCTTTAACTTTGCGAGACGAAAAGAATATTGCGTATCTAAGAATGACCTGCAAAATTTTCACAACAAGCACACCCCCAGAATAAACCTGCAGTTATTCAATATGAACCATAACTCCACATGTAATTAGTAGAGCAATAAGACGACATTGTACTGGAAGTGGGAGCAAGAGTTTACTTCAATACAGAAGTGAGGCCCAAGGACAATGCAAGAAGAAGGCCATCCCAATGTGGAGAACCTGAGGAATGAAAACTGATTTTTACAATATGTGAACTACTAAGAGATGACACGGAAGGCAAAGCAAACAGTAAAAGAGAACACAAAACCAAAAAGAGAAAAGCTGCAAGCAGGCACAAAGCATTCAAAAGTCAGATTAAAAGGAGAATGAAACAGAGATTATAAGGTATGGAATCCTGACTAAACTGAAATCGTAGTTTTGCCATCAAACAATGACCGAGAATACAGAATGGTGAAGGCGGGATGGTGATTATCATTGGTTGATTATTAAACAATCAGGAAAAATTCAATAATAGAGCAAAAGCTTGACTTCCTTCACGGAACATGCGAGTTCCAGGTAATCAATTTTCAGTTTTTCCCCCCACTGTCATACTTAGTAAATTGCACAGAGCTTCTCATACTTTCGGGGTTCCTATCACCACAGTTATCTGTTACTTGTAGCAGAAATACAATCTTCTTCTGTTGAAGAAGGTCCTCAAGCATACACAAGAGGACGACAATAGCGATTTCATTATTCAAGAATTACTGCTAGCATATGGATATGGCGAATGCAGCACACCTTGTTGAAGAAAATGAATAAGCTTGTTTAGAAGCAGAGGTCCCACGAAGCCTAATCCATCATTAAATACCTGCAACAAAAAGCCAATGGATGGTCAGTAACATCAGACACACATGAGGCTCCAACACAAAATATGACATTCCAACAGAAACAACACACACTCACCTTCAATACACCAAGCCTCAAATATGGCCATCCATAAGCATAGAAAATCGCTTTGAGCAAAAAGGGTTCAGGCCGACCTTCCTCAGCTTGCCAGCAGCTTGACAACACATTGTGACAGAAAGCAGGATCCATGTCACCAGGTAGGCACAGCAAATCTTCAAAGTCGAGCTGCTTTACAATGCCGTGATTCATCACAGAAGTAATGGATCTAAAAGTCATCACATCCCAAATACTTTCAGCATTGTCCTTCTGCAACAGGCAGGGCAAGTAAATTAACTAAAACAACAGGTCTATTATGGCGTGACCGTGTGAATAAACGAATTCCAAACTACACTAAGTTATGAGCTTTCTCTCAACCCAGTAAAAAAGAGGCATCGATGTTCATGAAACTCAATGACAGAAGTAGTTAGGCAACAAGGGAAAGACGAGGGTACCGAGTCGAGTTGAGGCCCTCGCTCAACATCCTCCACATGAGCAGATAGAAGTGGTTCTTCCATTGGTGGCAAAAGATGATCAACAGCTCCAGCAATTCCCCAATGTCAAATCAAGATCATAGCAAGTCCCAACTGGAAACTGAGAATGCACAGACCGAGTGAAAGAAAGCTCGACGAACCCCAAATCAAAATTTTCACAAATAAGCAATTGATCATTCAAGGTAAGTTGCACCGCACTGTTTTAAAGCAGTTAACATGGAAATTCAAAAACTTTCTCGGATTCTGGGAAGAAACCCCAATTGGAATATTGAGTGAAGTACGATGAGTGAGAGAGGAGGCTTATGCCGTCGGTACCGAAGATGGGATATAAAAGGGCATTAGGAATTTCGCCGGCAGTTGCCACGCCTCGTCACCGCCTGCCTTTTCAGTTTTTGCTTTTTTCACTCCCACTTCTGTTTTGCCGCCAAGCGGTATGGGGGTTACTTCGCTTTACTATTACTTTTTCACTGTTGCTTGTTTCCACCTTCTTTTTGTCGCTATGTGCAACCTTTTTCTTTTCGTTAAAGTACTCTAGGTATTGCGATTTCTTTACCCTCTCCATAAAAACATATTTTATATCAACAAAATGACGTGCGAAAAAGTGCAGCTTTTGATAAATCATTGATCAGTAACGAAACGATTCTTTATGGCCGTTTAGTTGCCATTTCATTTCTGTTAGCTGCCACCAATGTAGTTAAAAGTGCGATTCTATCTAGAAGCGGAAAATGGGTAAAATCGTAAAACGTAGAATCGAAGCGTAAAAGCGCAAGTTTTTGACGCACCCTGTAAAATAGCTAAAATATGTTAAGTACAACATATAGTATGTAAAATGTGAGTGTGTAGATTTTAGATAAATAAATAACTACATGAAATTCATAATTAAAAGGCAATATCTAACACATAAACTAATTTGTGTTTACTCAAAAGTAGAGAAAACTCATAACATCTTAATAATAAGCTCATAAACGTAGATCGTAACCCGTAAATGAACTTGAGAATCCAAATTCTCATAAGCTGGTTTGAGTTTACATAATTACATATGATCTATTACCCATTAACTTTTATCGTAACCGAGGTTAGAGCCACATGTGAAGATTAAGAGAGAAGACTGATAGAAGGTCAACGACTGTTGAGAATACCATTAGGTGTCTTTTCAACCTAATGTGATGCCCCTATGTAGACACTAGTTGTAGAACGAGTGATGAATCATGTTTTCCTTTTTTTATTTTTTTGCTTATATGTCTCCAAAATTACATCATTTTGGCCCAATTAGCACATTTTTATGAGATTATCAAAATCGTATAAAAACGCTTTAGAATTGCGATTTTACCGATTTTACCCATGTTTTTACCAATTTTTGTGACTAAGCGACTTTAGGTAGAAACTGAAACGTTTTGGTGGTCTGGATACGTAAAAACGTAAGTTTTTACGTTTTAATGTGTGATTTTGACTGCATTGGCTGCCACAACAGAAAACAAAATGAAAATGAAAACGAAATTGTCGTTTTCTGAGAATCAAAACCTGAAAAAAACTTGTTTAGCTGAGAAATTTTGTGAGGTCTGAAACTGAATTCTGAAAATAAAAACCTATTTAGTTACTTCATACTGTTTTCTGGTTATTGATTACCACAATTTTGTTAATTAGTATCATACAATCCTAGCCATTATTATAATTTTTAATTTGAATTAAAAAGTATTTAAACTACAAATAAACACAATACAAGTACAACATCTTATATTAATTAAGTACTAGTACAACATCAAATTTCAAATAAGTCCAGCTCGAAAGTCATCTCACAACTTGTTTACTATTCCATCCCGTCGTACATTCACTGCTCAAGTTTGGCTTGAACTATAACTATATGCTTCTCTTTCTTGTCCTCTTTGCACTCTATTGGCATTCTCCCCCGTGCAATAATTTTCTTATCAGCCATTGCTTATCACACTACAATTCAATACGAGATAAAAGATCACCACCAAGCAAAACATCAAACTCAACAAAATACTACAATAGATTCTACAAACAAAACATCAAACTCAAAGAAAGCCTACAATAGATTCTGCCCATTGTTATTATTTCTCCCAAATGGTCAGGAATATGCCACAAATTAACACAAATATGACAGATCTTGGTCTTCCCAAATTGTCTATTTTCATTCAAACTCGCAGCATAAGGAAAACATGACCACAATTATCCTAAATCATCCTACAAATCGGTCCAATTCACCATCACAAGCAAGCATGGATTGAGTTGTTGGCAGGAAGAATAATTACTTGCTGGGTCGATAGCAGGAGGAAGATGTGCGGCTGGTGCTTCTCTGTTGGAGGAGGAATCGAGGATAGGAAAGCTCATTCGGTGCTGCTTGCCTGCTTCTACCTGGACTGGGTCGCTAGCAGGAGGAGAAAGATGTGCGAGGAAGAAAAGATGATGACGTCGCGGGGATGAGAGGAAGTTGATGGGGCGGTGGTCTGGACAGATGACGACGGCGTGGGGCTAGCGAGGGAGAGGCGATAGATCTCGACTGCGGGGCTAGCGAGGGAGAAAGGATGACGGCGACGCTGGCGAGGGAGAGGGAGATAATGGGTTGATAGTGGTCTGGGTGGAGAGGAGGTGGCGGGGCTGCAAGGGGAAGAGGAGATGGAGATGGCCGAGCAACGACAGGTTTCTAGGGTTAGGGTGGGTGAATGGGGCAAAACGATGGGTTTTGGAGCACGGTGGAAAAGGTAGAAAAAAATAATCACATTGGTGACTCGAACCCGATATCTCATTTAGGAATAGTGACGTTTTTCCGCTAGGAAACGGGGGATAACCCGTCCCCATAATTCCAGAAAACATATATTTATTGTTTACTCACAGGTTTCTCATTTGTTAGAATTGGTTTTTTCCAAAGAAAACGAAATGAACAAGTGAACATGTTTTTTTGTCATTTGTTTCTTGATTTTTATTTTTTAAATAAAAAACAAAATGAGAAGTAAACAGGGCATTAACTTTAGATGGGTAATAAATTGATCATAAAATTCTAAGAGATCACAAAATTATAACTAGGAAGGTTATTTGAAATTTGAATAATTGATAAACAGAACAAAATAAAATTTACAAAATGAGCATTTTGTTAATTGGTGCAAAGTTAAGTAATTATTCATGTAAGTTTCATCGTTACTCTGAAAAAATAGAGTAGGCGAAAAAGGCGATTTATAAAGCTCGAGCTAGGTTTTGGTCTTCATGGCGACAACATCGTCTTCAGTGGTGCAGTCTGAAGCTGAGAAATCTCATGGAGATCTCCTCCTCGCCAAATAACAAGAGCAAGTAGGAGTCTATCCAACAAAAGAGGAAGGTTCCAACCCTAAACTTGGATAATGAAGAAATTGGCCTCGAGGAGAAGTTGCAATAACAGTCCGTACTAAGGAAACATCAGTTCAGGCACCATCACCTCAAGCGTGCGTAGGACCAACTGTGTGGCAAGGGGAGCCCGAAACCTATTCAGTGAAGTTTTCCAGAAGAATAATTGGTACTTGGATCGGACTTGAAAGACGTAGCACAGACGGAGAAGGTAGAGGATGATGTGTTTGATGAGCTAGATCATTATCCTAAGCGCCCATTTGTCCGTAGAACTTGTCATGAAGGGACTGGGAAGAAAAGCCCCTATATTGATGATTGAATAGTTTGTGGGCAAAGCATGTAAAATTGCAAATACCGGATATGAAGAATTGATGAGCCCCAAGGAGGGTCTCGAACTCTCAAACACGCAGCAAAGGCAAGGATGGTGGAGTGATGGTAGTTTCGTAGTAACATGGTAAGGGTTTTGGGGGTAAAACGAACCAATCTAGCAACTTCAATACGAAGGGGAAGAGGCTTGTTTGGGTAGAGAAACACCACGAGATCAATGATGATGGAATTGATCTCGAGGTCTTCAAGTCTAGGATCTCAATCCAAGACCAAACTCAAGCACTCGTGCTCAAGGGAAACTCCTCGGAGTAATCTTTGATTAAAACTCAACAACGTGTCTTTACAAGCATTGAACGAAGCTATTTATAACTAAGAACTATCCTAACATAATTGTAAATGAACAAGGAAAAAATCTACAACTAAACAAGGAAAGAAAATCGACTTAATCAAGGAAACTTGCAGCCAAAGAAACACTTCTTCTTCTCCACGCAAACTGTCCATAAACTGCTCTTCTTAACAACTTCAAGCTTCTGGGAAAAGGTCTTCTGGCTTGAGTCGAGGTCAGCCAATCCCTTCTCTAGGTTTAGAAAGCTTTATAGTTTCATCCCCAACTCCAAAATCCAGCTGGTCATCTTCCAAACGTCGTGCATAAAGGCTCAAAGTTGCTATCTCAAACTCACTTCATGCCTTAGCGGAAATCAAGTAGTTTTCAGATTGCAAGATAGGATTTTGGATGGCTTGAAACTCGATCCTTATGGCCTTGCCTTGACATTCCAGACACTCCAACATGTAGAGCAACATCCAAGTGTCAAAACAAGTCCTCAACCTCGAATTTCTACTCAGCCAATTGAGAGAAACATCCCGCCAAAGTGGGCTTCCCAGAACTGTTCCCACACTTAGAAAATTTACAGCCTTGTTCTCGTTAACTTGAATCGATCTTCGAATGATTAATGGAGACTTAAAGGAGGATGGAATTGATATCATATCAAGAATGGATGTCACCTGTTAAGGTTCACCAAATAATAAACTATGAAATTGTTGTTAATGGAGGGTCATGGTTGCTAGGTGATACGTACATGGTAGTGACGCATTGGTTTAAGAGTTTTAATTCACCCATGGAATGCAGAGGTGATGTCCATTTCTAGTGTAACTACTAAGAAAGTGTACCTGTCGTAGAAGCAATACAGTGGCAAGCAAGATCATATTCCCACAGAGACTATGAACTACTAGTAATTGGCTATATTTTCTATTATCTAACCACTCATTTATCGATTCTTTTATTTACTAAATTAACTAACAAAGCAGTGAAATTCAGCACATGCAAGACGCAAAACACTAAGGCAAAGTCAAGTAGAGAAGGCATTGTTAGGATTTCGAACCCCCTTAGATAATTCATAATTCATCAATTGAACATATATAGACCCGATTTTTATCTTTCTTTGACCATAGAAATTCCCAATTTATTATCAACCCGATCTCACATGTATTAATACTCTATTAGTTGATTCAATCCAAATATGATATTATGTTTGACCTAAATTCAATTAACTAAGACAATGAACGATCTATGAATTCCCTTGTCCACCTGATTGTGCGGACCTACTTCAGCATGAAGGTCCTTAAAATTATTTCTTTTTTCCCTATCCTATCGTGACAACTCTTCTCCCCCCACAATTTTAGCAGTCTGGTGGGGCTCATTGCACCCATCATTTTGATAACGTGATAAAAATTTGGTTTCCCTTATTAGGTTTAACTGTAATCCAGAAATCCTTCACCCTTTATCTTCTAGTAGTTTGAGGTCTCATGCATATGGGGATCTTCTCCTCAT